ATACACACACGAACACTTAACTTTTTTTGACCTAAGGGTTGTGATTACTGTCATCATGCGACACAAGTAACAAAAATCCCGATAAAAAAATGCAAGAAAAAGGAGGAAAGAGAAGTGTTGAGCAGTTGGGTAATTAAAGATCTAATCTGATTAGGACTCTAATGATAATCTTCTGAAACGAGACGATATATTTGCAAATGCCAATATGCAATTGCGCTGTGAATGCAACACTATTTCCCCTTTCTGTCTGTGCATATCAGGCTAAAACTTTCATCATATCGCTTATATATATGTATATATATTTATATATATATATATATATATAATATATATATATATATATATATATATTATATATTTTTTTTTTTTTTTTTTTTTTTTTTTTTTTTTTTTTTTTCCTGTCAGATACACAGTAAAGAGAGATGGAAATACATGGATCAATGTTTAAAAAAAAATCTTGTTTACTTAAATAGCAATTCAGAGCAGTTGGTATTTAGAATAAGAGAAAAATATATGAGAGAATGGGAAGAACGAGAAAGAAAGGACTGATATATATAGAAAAGAGAAGGTTAGAAAAGAAAGGAGATATGAGACAGAGAAGAGAAAAAAAGTAAAAGAGAGAATATAGGCGAGACAGAGGAGAAAAGGATAAGAGAGGAAAAAGACAGAGAGAGAGAGAGAGAGAGAGAGAGAGAGGGGGGGGGGGGGGCAGAGAAAGGAAGAAAAGAGATTGATAGAAGAGAGCGGAAAAAAGGAAAAAGAGAGGAAAAGGAGTTTGAAGGAGAGAGAGAAAGTGGAGATGGAAGTAAGAGTGAGGAAGAAAACGAAAGAAAAAAGTGGATAAAGAGGGAACAAATCTAAAAGAGGAAAACAACGTCAGAAGGATAGTCAATAATTATATACGAAAAAGCAACAATTTATTTACATCATAAATAGTATAAATATAGTAAACAACAGATCAACAGATCAGTCACAGGCTCCCCTGTCTTCTGAGAAATTAAAATGTTTTTGTTAAAATAAATAATGTTAACAATATATTCTTTATAGCAATTTATGCTCGCGGTCTCTACAGGAACTTGTTGACAGCATCGTCAATCAACTGCTGGATGAAGATGGTCTTCTCATTGTAGGCTGGGGCAGGGGCACCGTAACCGCTGTCGAAAGTGAGATTAGAATGAATATCAAATTAATACAGTTATGCTTTCATATAAACTAATGTCACTATACAAATTTTATGTATAAAGAGATCAATTGCAGAACGCCAAAGCCTCTTAAGACGAGGCGAAACTCACGTAGCGGAGGCGTAGTCGTAGGGCTGAGCAACCTTGGCCGTTGTCCCGAAGAGCCCCAGGAGAGACGAGACCAAGAGCAGGCCGACGGCGATGACCCCGATGAAGAAGAGGGACTCGGCGCCCATGGTGACGGATTTGGTGGCGTCTTCGAAGAGAAGTCGTGCGTCGTTTTTGTTGGTGGTGTCGGCTGCGTGCGTGAGGGCGGCCAGGGCGAGGAGGAGGGCGGCGAAGGTGATTCCTGCAAAGGGATGAGTCAGATGCCGTTTTGTTTAGTGTAGTCAATGTGTTGGTGATAAAGCTTTTCAGCAATGACTGTAACTATATGTGTGTGGAGAGCAATAGAATTAATTTGTATATGAAAAGACAGTGCACTAGACATCTGAGATAAAAACGGCTTATTGAAGATCACTCTTTCTATAGTCGAACACCAGGACGGGAGGAAACCAACTTCGATGGATCTTTTTAAGTTTCCAATACATGAACAACCTATGGATTCACATATCACAAATACAAATCGACGTTTGTATATTGCACAGTATCTGCACACACAAACAGGCACGTTTCTGTATATAGTACATAAAGTAAGTGTTTGACCGTACCGTGAGCGGCCATTGTGTAGCGCAAAAGCTTAAGAAGCGGATCAGGACAATTAGCAGAGTAGGTCGTCACTCAATGGTGTTCACAGGATGACTGGTTCCCCAAAGGCCTCCGTGCTTGCTTAAGTAGTCCTACGGGGAGAGGTAAAGTACCTGCATTGAAGGCACACTTTCTAACTTTAAGGGGGGGTACTGTATATATAATAATATTATGTACTTGATATGTATGTCTCTCTGTAATATGTATTTTTACACACACACACATATACATATATATGAGCTGCATATAGATACGTACATTAATAGGTAAGTGAACATATTGATAGAAAATGTCAACTTGGAGTTGGCTATGCATGTCATCTTTTTCAATATGATCTAGAAAGAGAGAGAGAGAGAGAGAGAGAGAGAGAGAGAGCGAGAGCGAGAGAGAGCGAGAGAGAGAGAGAGAGAGAGAGAGAGAGAGAGAGAGAGAGAGAGAGAGAGAGAGAGAGAAATCTAGGGAGAGGTAAAGTACCTGCATAGACGGCACACTTTCTATTTCTAGCGACGGGAATATTTATACATACATTATATATATATATATATATATATATATAATATATATATATATATACCAATATATATAATATATATATATATATATATATATATATATATATATATTGCTATATATTCATGCATATATATATGTATATATATATGTAATATATATATATATATATATATTATATATATATATATATAATATATATATATATATATATAATGTATGTATAAGAAATGCAGATTGATCTAATAGGCAATTGAACATACTGATAAATAATGTGCACTGGTGGCTATGTATTTGTCATCTTTTTCAATATTATCTAGAAAACCCCCGACTTGGACCTTTTACAATTGGTCCAAGATTTCCTATTATTATAGTTTTTTTTCTGACTACATGCTTAGCATCTTACAAAATCAATGCCGAAAGAAAGAAAATAAATCCTAGTTTGTTTGGCACGAAGATACTGAAAGGACATACATCCTTTTTTCGGGCATTACCAAATACACACACACGGAATTAATTTCGAATTGCTTCTTCATACATGCCCTGAAGAAGCAATAAAGCGAAAAGGCCTTCGACACACACACACACACACACACAAACGTACACACTCGGTTGTGCTCAGTGATTCAAAAAGGCTTTCGACACACATACACACACACAAACACGCCCACACACACACACACACAAACACACACGTACACACTCGGTTGTGCTCAGTGATTCAAAAAGGCTTTCGACACACACACAAACACACCACACGTCCACACCCCACACACACACACACACACACACACACAACACGCTCACACACGCACACACACACACACACACACACACACACACACACACACACACACACACACACACACACACACACACACACACGCACACACACACACTCGGTTGTGCTCAGTGATTCCGAAGAGGGAAAACTTTCCACTCAGGGACTCGGACACCAGACCTTGGAAGTCACTTTCCCTGCGAGTGTCCGTTTCCTGTTGCTCTCACTTTATTCGTTCCTCTCTCATTCTCATTCTATTTGTTCGATCTTCTGTCTGTGGATTTTGTCTTGTTTTCTATGCCATTTGCTTAATGTTGAGACTTGATTTCATTTTGCTGTATATTGAACCTATTACGAGGTGTGACCCTCAAAAAAAAAAAAAAAAAAAGGAAAGAGGAAAACGAAAGAAAGAAAGAAAAAAAGTAAAAAGAAGAATCGATGCTTAATCTTATTTTATGATTTGGAGTGGTTTTGCCATAATTATATTTGTTCGTCTCGCGTTGGGACTCCTCTCCAGCTGTGGGCGTCATCTAGTGATTCATATCTGTATATCTAAATGCATATATATATATATCTGTATGTGGATTTGAACATGCATATGTCCATGTGTATGCATATATACATACACAATTAAATATAAAACACATACACATACCCTCGCTTGTGGTCAGCGATTCCGTAGAGATAACATAGCGAAGCGGCACTCGAACACCAGACCTTATAGGACAGTCTCCCCTCGAGGGAGTGTCCGTTTTCTGTTGCCTTTGCTTTCTTCGTCGATGTCCTTTTTTCATTCTCTGTTCGAATATTTCTCTTTCCATTTTGTCTTGTTTTCTATGTTTGGGTGATAATGAGATCTGATTTTGTTTTCCTTTTGGTTACTAAACCGCGATGAAAGTCAAGTGTCATTATTATTAGTAGTAGTATTTTTGTTATTCATAAAGATGTTTGATATAATTCTAAGATTTAAGTGTTTTTGTTACTACTACAGAATACTAACGTGAACCGTTATCTAGTCTTATATATTTGTATAGCTATATCAGAATTTATCTATATGCAAATATATCTTCATGTGTGTAAATATACGATGTTTATATATATGTTAATATTTGTAAATGCATACATGTATATGCATATGTTTATATATGTGCATATGTATGTATATAAATGTACACATACATATATATCCATATATATGCACACACATTTCACCGGTGAAGAGAATAGACGAATAAAACATGAAAAAAGAATAATTAGATCAATTTAAGATTTTTTTTTTCACCTCAATGAAGCTTCAGGCAAGTCAAATCTAGAATAAGGTAGAAATGAGGAGAGAAAATTGGGAAACGAGGGAGTGATGGTTGGCTAGACATAAGAGAGGACATAGAGATGGTTAGAAAAGAAAGAATTTAGGGATAAAAGATAAAAAGGAGAAAAACAAGAAAAAAGAGGGGAGACAGGAGAGGCAAAGAGACAGAAAGAAGAAAAGAATAAGAGAAGAGAAACAGCGAGAGTGGAGACAGAGAAAGGAAGACAAGAGATGTAATAGAATAGTGATAGAGAGGGAAATACAGGGAAAAGAGAGGGGATAGGAGAACTTGAAGGGGAGATAGAAATGAAGAAAACGGAGATAGAAAGTGAGAGCGAGGAAGAAAACGAGAGAAAGAGGAATAAGGAGAGGACAAATCTAAAAGAGGATAAACAACGATTTCACTTTCCGTGAGATGGACAGTCAAAAACTATATACAAACAAAACAATTTATTTACATCATAAATAGTATAAAATTTAGTAAACAGAAGATCAACAGATCAATCACAGGTTCCACTGTCTTCTGTGACATTCAGGAGTAAAATCACAGAAGTTAAAATGTTTTTGTTAAAGTAAATTATCATAACAACACAGTGTTCCTTATATCAATTTATGCTCGCGGTCTCTACAAGAACTTGTTGATGGCATCCTCAATCAACTGCTGGATGAAGGTGGTCTTCTCTTCGTAGACTGGGGGACCGTAACCGCTGTTGAAATGGAGAGTGAAGTGAATATGAAATCAATACAGTTATGCTTTCATATAAAACAATGATATCCAAATGTTATCAACAATGAGAGCAATTGCAGAAAGCCAAGGCCCCCTTAGACGAGGCGAAACTCACGTAGCGGAGGCGTAGTCGTAGGGCTGAGCAACCTTGGCCGTTGTCCCGAAGAGCCCCAGGAAAGACGAGACCAAGAGCAGGCCGACGAAGATGGCCCCGATGAAGAAGAGGGACTCGGCGCCCATGGTGACGGATTTGTCGGCGTTTTCGAAGAGAAGTCGTGCGTCGTTTTTGTTGGTGGTGTCGGCTGCGTGCGTGAGGGCGGCCAGGGCGAGGAGGAGGGCGGCGAAGGTGATTCCTGCAAAGGGATAAAAACGGCTTATTGAAGATCATTCTTTCTATAGTCGAACACCAGGATGGGATGAAACCAACTTCGATAATTCTTTCTAAGTTTCCAATACCCAAACACATAAACAACCTAGGCATTCACATATCACAAATACAAATCGACGTTTGTATATTACACAGTATCTGCACACACAAACAGGCACGTTTTTGTATATAGTACATAAGGTAAGCGTTTGACCGTACCGTGAGCGGCCATTGTGTAGCGCAAAATCTTAAGAAGCGGATCAGGACAAGCAGCAGAGTAGGTCGTCACTTAATGGTGTTCACAGGGTGACTGGTTCCCCAAAGGCCTCCGTGCTTGCTTAAGTAGTCCTACGGGGAGAGGTAAAGTACCTGCATTACGCCACACTTTCTATCTTTAGAGGGGGCGGGGCATATGAATTCATATACACATATCTATATATACATAGATACATACATATTTAGATAACATGCAGCTAGATACGAATAGGTAAGTGAACATATTGACAAATACTGTAAACTTGGAGGTGACTATGCATTTGTCATATTCCAATATGATCTAATAATAAGAAGAAAAGAAATCGAGTTTAGAGCTCCAAGTAGTCCAGGATTTCGATACTTTTTGCCGACCAAATGGTTAGCTGCTTACAATAGCGATGCATCAAAACAGAAGAAGAAGAAGAAAAAAAAATAGAGCCTGTTAAAACGAAGATACTAATAGGTCATCCATTCTTTTTTCGGGCACTGCCATATATATATATATATATATATATATATATATATATATATATATATATATATATATATGTATGTGTGTGTGGTGTGTGTGTGTGTGTGTGTGTGTGTGTGTGTGTGTGTGTGTTGTGCATAGAAATAAATACAAACAACAAACGCATATATACTTATATATACTTATTTACATGTATATATATATGTGTATATATATATATATATATATATATATATATATATGTATTTTATAAACACACACACTTGGTTGTGTTTGGTGATTCCGTAAAAGGAAAGTATATCATTGGCACTCGAACACCCGACCTTTTACGACAGTATCCCCTGCGTGAGAGTGTCCGTTTTCTGTTGCCCAACTTTTAACAGTCTCATTCATATTTTTATTTGTGTATCATGTGTTAATTGCTGTTATTTGCTCAATGTTGACACTTAATTTAACTAATAGTCTGAAGCGGTGTGAGCGACCGAAGAGGTGATGTTTGTTGTTATTAATTTTTAGATGTTTAATCTTGTTTTATGATTTTGAGTTTTTGCTATTATTAGATTTTTCTTTGTTTTGTTTTACGTTAGTTGTGGTTCCTCGCTGCGTACGTCATTCATATTTGTATATCTATATCTACATGAATGTATATCTTTGCGTATTCACATGTGCATATGTATACATGCATACACACACAATTTATCTATCTATATGCGTGCATACAAAAAGGAAACACGGTCACAATAACCAATGAAGTTGAATCGTAACGTTTCGAACTCGTCAAGAATTCCTCATCCGACACTATTACTCATCTTTACTACCACGATAGTGATACTTTGCCGCAACGAATAACGAATGACACACAAAATTGATAAAAATATCAAGAAAAAGAAGGAAATGATGCTGAGAGATCTGACCTGATAAATGATCTGATGATAAAACCCTGATAAGAGACTACATACAAACACGCATAATTACTATATATGTATTTACCTTTTCGTGGTCGTTCTGTGTAAATCGGTCTTCAACTTCATTTTTTATCATATCTCGTTATTTCTCTCCCTCGTATTCTTAGACAAGAGAGGGTTGGAAAGATTAGATGACATTTTTTTTCCTTTTTGTAAGATTTAGGTAAGCTTTAGAACAAGAGAGTCAGGGAAAGTAAATAGTGAGAGAATGGGAAGACGTGGGAGAGAATAATATATATATGTGTGTGTGTAATTAAAGAGAATAGATACAGAAGGTATGGAAAGAATGGAAATTTGAGAGAGAACAGGGATGAGAAAAAGAAGGAAAGAGTGTAGATATGATGAAGAAAGAAAGAGAGGAGATAGGAGAGACAGATAGGAAAGAAGGATAAGAGGGGAAGTGAGAGAGAGAAGATACAGAGAAAGGAAGGAGAGAAATTAGATAGAAGTGGGAGGTAGAGAGAGGAAAAGAAGAAAAAGAGAGAAAATAGGAGAGCCTGAATGGGAGAAAGTAAGGGAGAAAAGAAATGGAAAGTGAAAAAAAAAAGAGCGACAGGGAATAGAGACATTAAAAAAGATAAACTATTTCACTTTACGTCAAAAGGGCAGAAAAAACAGTATATAAACAAAACAATTTATTTACATCATAAATTAAATAGAATATAACAAATAAAAGATCAACAGATCAGTCACAGGTTCCACTGTTTACTGTGACGACCAGGAGAAAAAAGAATAATTACAGCAAGTTGATAAGTTTGAAAATAAATGCACAGAACAACAGGTATTTCGTTCTGTAAGCATATTCGATTCTCGAATATTTATGTTCGCGGTCTCTACTGGAACTTGTTGACAGCATCATCAATCAATTGATGGACGAAGGTGGTCTTGTCATCGTAGGCTGGAGCAGGGGCAGCATAAGAGCTGTCGAAATAGAGTTTGGAATTAATATACGTTTATTACAGTTACGCTTTCATATAAACTAATTTCACTATACAATTCTTATCTACTAAGAGATCAATTTCAGAACGCCAAAGCCTCTTAAGACGAGGCGAAACTCACGTGGCGGCGTAGTCGTAGGGCTGAGCAACCTTGGCCGTTGTCCCGAAGAGCCCCAGGAAAGACGCGACCAAGAGCAGGCCGACGGCGATGGCCCCGATGTAGAAGAGGGACGCGCCGCCGATAGTGACGGATTTGTCGGTGTCGTCGAAGAGAAGTCGTGCGTCGTTTTTGTTGGTGGTGTCGGCTGCGTGCGTGAGGGCGGCCAGGGCGAGGAGGAGGGCGGCGAAGGTGATTCCTGCAAAGGGATGGTTCAGTAGTTGGCGCTTTATCCAGAATGATTGGCGGTGATAATGCTTAGCAGAAATAACAAAAACATCTATGTATGTTTATATGTATATACATACATATACATAAACACATACATATATGTGTGTATGTGTGTGTGAGAGAGAGAGAGAGAGACAGGGAAAAAATCCACTAAAAAGAAAAAAAAACTTTAGACGTCTGAGATTCAACTCTTCAAATTCATTCTATTGAGGAATTTCACTCTCTGAAACATGTTAAGAACAGGATGATGTCTACTCCATTGGTTCTTTAAGTTTCCAATACCCAAACACATACACGAACTTGGCATTCACATTCCACATGTCACAATGTCATATCGACGTGTGTAAATAGTTTTCACACAAATACCAAGGCACGTATTTGCATATACTATAATAGGTAAGCGTTTGACCGTACCGTGAGCGGCCATTGTGTAGCGCAAAAGCTTATTAAGCGGGACAAGCAGTAGATTAGATCGTCACGATGGTTCACAATGACTGGTTCCTCAAGGCCTCGTGGTTGCTTAAGTAGTCCTACGGGGAGAGGTAAAGTACCTGCATTGAAGGCACACTTTCTCTCCTTGGGGGCGTGGATATGGATTTATATACATATAGATGTAGATGGATAATTGTACATGTACAGAAGAAATGCTGATAGATACATACATAGGTATGTGAAATATTGGTAGATAATGTAAAATTGGAGGTGGATGTGTTTGTATTTTTCAATATATGCAAATAGTCCGGGATCCGATCCTATTCTGTTTGGTTCGAAGAGACCAATAGGTCATGCATCCTTTTTTCGGGTACTGCCACACATATATATACCTATTATTCTATATACATACATGCATATACACACACACATATATACACATCTATATACATACACATATATATATATGTATGTATATATTATGCACACACACACACACACACACACACATGAACACATGCATTCCGTAGAGGGAAAACACTTCACCTGGACTCGGACACCTGACCTTTGAAGACACTTTCCCTAGGCGAGAGTGTCCGTTTCCTGTTGCCCTCCTTATGATGTTCTTAAAGTCTCATTCTCACTTTATTTGTTCGACTCTTTGTCTGTGCATTTCGTGTCGTTTTCTTTGTCTTTTATTTGATATCAAGATCTGATTTCGTTTTACTATAGACTGTGAGTGCGACCAGAAATATCATTTCCATTTCGATAGATATTTACTCTTTGTTTATAATCGAAGCTTTTATGATACTATGTATCACGACACGTTGGTACTGATATACAATATCTATGTATATGCATCTACATCTACACGCGTATGTGCATATACACACATATAGAAATCTATCTATCTATCTATCTATCTATCTATCTCTATATATATATATATATATATATATATATATATATATATAAAGGGAACAATCACGATAACTCATCAGATGTTTCGATTCAATTTAATTTCTTATTGTCTCTTTTTTATTATTTTATTACCTTTCTGTACACGCTACTGCATTCATGGTTTTGTTCGTTTACATATATGCAAATAAAGAAAGACTCATGCACATATATTTAGTTTTGATGCGACAATATTGATGTTTCGCCGCTCCCACTTAACGTCAACGGTGATAACCAAACGATAAAAATAACAAATCATGATAAAGAATTCAAGAAAAAGAAGGAATGAGAAAGTCATAAATGATTGGTTACAGATATCTGATTCGATGATAACTGATGATAACACACTGATAAAAGACACATTCACACATACACACACACACACACAAAACAGAATTACATGCAACTACTTTGTTGAAATAAGGAACATTCCCCCCCCCTTTTTGTCTACGTAAATCGGTCTTCAACTTTTCACTTCATGCTAATGTCTTGCTTATTATTTTTTTCTTTC